TCAGAAGACAAGGAGACCCAAGAGCTCCCTTCCTGTCCCTCTGTCCCCATAGAGGACACAGCAAGAGGTGCCACCAGCAACCAGGAAGAGGCCTCACAACCTGACCTGCCAGTAGCCTAATCTCACACCCCAGACTCCGGGGGGGGGCCAGGTGCACCCCAACCTTACCCTGATGGCACCACCACCTGGCGGCCGCTTCCAGGGTCACAGACAAAGCCAGCGCACTTCTCCCCTCCCTGCCCCCCCAAAGTGTACCCCGCCCCCCAAAGCCCCAAAGCGCCCCAAACGGAGAGCAAACACTCGCTAAGCCACCTCCTACGCCACTTGGAAGTAAAAGCGGCCCAGATAACCTGACCCGGGCCTCTGATGTGCCCGTCCTGCCGCGGCCGAACCCCACACATCCCTCCTCACCAGCCTTATCTGTTTGCTTTTCACTTAACATCCGCTGGCATTGGCACAGGCCCAGTGGGGGGGGGGCGGCAGACAGCGGGGAGCAAGCTAGGGGCTGCTAGGGGTTTGAGGCCGCTCTTGGGGTCACGGCAGCCACTGCCCACTGGCCCCCAGCTGGGCTGTGGCCCGGTGAGTGGATTCAGGCCCAGAAGCTGAAATGTGACACGGCCCCCTCAGGATCCTGGAGGCGGAGCCTCTGGGACCCTCCACTCGGGGCTGGGGGGGACAAGCTGGGCCTGCCCTAAGGGCTCTGCAGTCCTGCAGGACACAGGACAGAGCCAGTGAGCGCCTCAGAGACATCGAGGTCCCCCTGACAGGCTGGGGAGGAGGCAGCATTTGGGGGTGCTGCTTGGGAGGTGCCGACTCCAGCCACAGTGGAGTCAGAGGTGCCCTGATGTGGGAGTGGAATCAGGGGTCGGGGTGGACGGCCACACTTGGTGGGCTGTGCCAAGCGTGGGCCAGGTAGGGCACCCCTGGGCGCTGCCCAAAGCTCCCTGCCAAGCCCTCCCTCCTGGAAAGTTTCTCCCCACCCCCAGCTGAGCCCCCCCATGGGAGGGGAGGGTTGGCCAGGACCCCCCCTGCGGGGCCTGCCTGGGCAGCAGGTGGGTGTCCAGCCCTCCCTGGCTGGAAGGCGCCCGCTCTCCTGGGGGCCCGGACTTGCCCTTGTTGGGTGTGTCCTCCGTCCGTCCTCAGCACAGGCCCCGGCCAGGAGTCGGGGGCAGTGAGTAGCCAGCCTGTCCCTGAACACAGCTCGTCAGCCTGTGACAGCCAGACACGGGGGCAGTGGACTTCCCGCCGGGCCCCTAACCTCAGAGGCCACCAGGACCCCCTCCTGCAGACACAGATGTGATTTCCGTTACCTGACAGCCACATAGTGAGGCTGTGGTCAGGGGCCAGCACCGAGGCTGCCCCACGGGGAACCCGAGTCCAGAAGGAAGGGCCGTGGGCCGAGGTGGGGGGCGATGCCTGCCCCAAATCCAGGCCTGGGGCAGAGATTGAAAGTACAGATGGGGGGTCAGGCTCTGGGGGCCGGAAGGGAGCCCCTGGGGCACAGGCCCCTGATAGATGGAGTCGGGACTCGGTGAGGAGGGGCAGGGTCTGCTGGGGCGAGCAGCCTGCCTGGGGCTGGTGTCCACCTCTTGGCCCAGGGGTGCCTCACCTGTGACACTGGCTTGCTGGCTCTGTGGTTTTCCCCAGCAGGGCCCACCCTAGGAGCTTGGGATGAGGGTCTGGAAGGGAAAACCTGGGGGCACGGGCACGCAGGTGGTAGCCATGAGGGTCCCCACAGCTTCCAACCTGGCAAAGGGCCAGCCCAGCCGACCCCTCAGCCCCACCCTCAATGCCAGAGGTCCAGGATGGTCCGAGCTTTGCACCCCAAGTCAGCGGGAAGCCCCCGGACACTGGGCTCAAGGCTGGGGGCCGGAGCAGAGCAGGCCAGGCCAGGTCCCAGGGCCAACCATGCCGACGGAGGGCAACGCAGGGGTCTGAGCTGGGGCGTGAGAGTGGGCAATCACCCACTTGTCCAGCCCTCAGGCCCCGCTTCCCAAGGCCGGCCAGTGGGACTCGTTCTTATCACCAAGGCTGTTGGAAACAATGGTCACACACATCCCTATCGCCCCACTGTTTGCTCGGTGGTTTGAGCACCTAGGTCAG